GAGAGATCTAGGTTGTCTTATGGCGTAGAAGATTTTGAAAACGGAATGTGTCCTCGAGGTATAGGCGACTCTTTCGATTCGAGAAGAGTCTTTGGCGGATGATGATTCGCTTGTCAGAAATATTCTCTTTGAAACGTTGGTGGGCAACTATGAAGGGCAAAGGAATCCACGTGCCCCTCGAGGGAAACATGTTCCATAAAACAGCGTGAGGAAAAACGTGACGTCCATAGGTCCGTTACTCCGGTAACCCATCGCCGGAGGAAAATTAAAAGTTATCGAGCACCGATGCCTAGGGAAAAGTAGTTACGCCAACTTGACACGTTACCCGGGGTCGATGAAGGATGAGGAAAAAATTCTCGATGGAACGGAGAAGAAACTGACGCGCGTAGGATTATATTGCCTAAAAGGTATATTTTGGAGATGCTTAACTTTTATATATTAAAGAAAATTGGAGAGTTATATTTTTGCTCGATAAGTTACAATTTTTTTATAAACTTTCCTTCTATCATTTTTACGTCTCTTACGTAGAAATAAATAGAATTAAGTAATAATTATTTTTATTTATTATCAAACTCGTAACTTGTAAAGTTATTTTGATAATATTGCTTAATAATATGAAAAAAAAAATGATTGAATGTACCAAGCATAAATATAAAGGACAATTTTCAAATGTAAGAAATAAAAATCAAATTACTTAATCGCTTATAATTCGAAGAATATGGGTTTAAGAATAGAAAATTAGCCATGAAAGAAAAAACATCAAAACGTAATACCAATCAATCCACAAATACGATATTAAATCGAGTCTTATCCACTCGACAATTCGCAGACCGCGAAACATAAATCCTACCCCCTCCCTCGGGGAAGGGAGAATTTAATTAATTTGGGCGTCATCTAATTTCTCCGTAATAACAGATAACGTCACGGTCGCAATTTCATCGGTATTATCTCGCAACAGCAATTTCCATATCAACGGATTTACGTTTTATTTACGTTTTTCTTTTTTTTATTTTTCGACTCGGCGTTGAAAATTTCGCGAACGCAAGATCCTCCACCAATTTCCACGAATTTTGTACTTTCTTCAAGGCCAATATTTTATAAAGCGGACAATAACGTCGACCAATCATTGTTTTATTTCTTATACACTTTAAGACGAGAAAGAGCGCTTTCTCGTTGTCGTCGTTTTCGAAATGAGATTTTACGCGCTCGAGAGCCATGTCGATGGCGCGACAAAATGGCGCGCGAGCGCGCGAAATACAAAACGAGGAGGAAGCGAAACGCGAGGATAGAATGAAATTTTCAAGACATAGGAAGGCTTTTCCTTGGATGATACACGCGTACGTCGAACGAGACCGCTTGAATATTCACTCTGTCGCCTCTGTTGTCCGCTTTGAATACGCGTTTCCGCTATGAACAAAGGAAAAGGTGTGGACAGAAGAAAGGACAATTGCGCGTTTCGACGAGGATTAGTCGTCAAACGTGAAGAATTATATTCGACGAGTTTCTTTGAATTTTCTGAAATTAAAATCAAGATAGATACCATAAGAAAATGCTTCGTAAGATCGTTGAGAGATTTTCATCTCCGTGCGGATTTTTCCTTTAAAAATTATATTCCACGCGATATATTCGTAATGAGGTTCTTACGTAAAATAAACGCGATCAAAGAGCAGTGTCGATGTGGAAAGAGGAGAAATTTCGCAGAAATAATTATAAAAGAATCTGGATTCTTTTTCAGGATTAGAAGAATAAACAAGATTCATTAATTATTTTTCAATCGATTTTGACCACCAATATTATGATGATACCTAACAACTTTCCTCTAATACGTGTACTTTTGAATCTTACGTATTATCGTGACAATCTCACTGAAGAATCAAACTTATTTTGACAATCATTAATTATATATACGATTTCTGGTAAATAATTTTTATTCGCTTTACGAATGGTATCCCTGATGAAACGTAAATTCGTCGGATGATTCTGCATTTTCATCCTTTCGCCGAGTTTCGAAATCCAAAATCCGCGTCACCATTTCTGTTAATAAATTGCACAACGATGACCACCTAGATAGATCTCTCCCTCCCCACGCGCAGAGAATTGTCAAAGTTAAATGGCGCGGTGGATTCGTGAAATTTCTCCGCAATTTACAGTTCGATCGACCCGTTTCCGGCCACGTCACGTCCAAATGATAAAACGTCGTCGCGCTTTCATCGGCGCGGATTCGCCGCGGTTTTATCAGCGGCCGCCCTCGTCGACAAGCGGATTATTAATCGGCGCCCGCCCCAATATCGTTCGACAAGCTTTAGAAACGGGTTAATGGAATGAAGCAGAATCGACTTTATCGGCCGAGAAATTCGGATAGCTGTGTATCTGTCTATCGGCCACGCGAATTTGCGGGAATGGCGGTCGAGGCGGTTGTTAAGAGACATCTGCGTTAGGCCGATGCATACCGAACATGTGTGAAACATGGCCTGCGTGTTGACCTTGGATGTTGCAGTATATGGCGACAAGCGTGGTTTGCGGCTAATTGCGCGATCTCGATGGACTGCAGTGAATTTCGTTCGAGGATGCGGTTTGGTAAGGAATTGGTCCGAGTAATCGTCGCGGATAAAATGACAATGCGTCGTAAACCTTTTGACATTTGACAGAACAAAATTCAGTATTGAGAGTAATTGTGTATAGTGTCCACTAACGAAAAGATAATTTTGAAGAGCAATTTTATTTTTAAAGTTTATTCATACTCTAAGTGATGGAAGTTTGCCAATTGTTAAGATCGAAGAAGAAGAATTTGACAATTGCTATTATTTCTATTCCCATTTGAAATTTTCTTATGCATTTCTTTATTTTCTTTTCCATTTAACCTTTGTCTATTCAAATAATCTATCTCTCTGTGTCTATTCTTATTTTTCTTTCTTCCATCCGCAATCTTCGATCCTTTTCATTCCTCGATCATCAATTTTTTTTCTAATTTATTTCTCTCTTTTCCTCTATTAAATTTCCCTCTTTCTCTTTCTACATGTATACAATTTCCTACGATTTTCCTTTCCTTTCCTTTTTTTTTTCCAATCACAATCGTCGTTTCTAAGATTGATGCAGCGAAAACAATACGCGCTGCGTGAATCGATAGATATTGCACGACCTCGATTCCAAGAAATATATACACGCACACAGCGAAAGCGAATTTCGCAAATGAAATTTTCTCGGAAGAAGGCGAGGAGCAACGGTTTCTAAACGGTTCACGCGCAAGTGGACGTGAACGAATCGAGCGAATTCGTTTCATCGAACACAAAAGTAAAATGTCAATCGTCCCTCCATTACGGATTAACGAGATTGACTATAATTAGAGGCGTTCTCGTCATCTGTTGTTCGAACTGGTCGCTCGAATCTAGTTCTCACATTGGGAAATAGTTGGCAAACGAACGATAGTTATTGTTGTTTCGAGTGTCAATTATTTATAACTGTATTGTAACTTACGAGGTGGGATCTTGATAGATCGATAATGTTGCCTTAATAAACTTTCTAACGCGCATTATTAAAAACGAGAAGATAACAAGAATGGGAAATTTCAAGTAATTCCGACGATTGATAATTTTATTTAATTCTTATCGTTATATACATTCCTCCTATTATCCAATCAAATCTGTCAAATAAACTTTAATTCAACTCCCTCTAAAATCGTAACGTCGCCTACGGATAATAGTCTTATAATCAAACTCTAATGAGTTTCTCTAAAGATGAAACTGGAAGACACGTCGCAAATTTGCGAAAACTTTTGAGCTTTGAATACGGAACAATTACCTTTCCATTCATTTTGCGAAATTTCTGTTTCAAATTAATTAATTTGACACTTAGCAGGGGATTATAAATCCTATTAATTATAATCAATCTCGCTAGGTTCTCATTTCAACTTTTTAATTCAACTTAATATTTTTTAACGCTCGACACGAGGCGAAGAAATCTAAGAAGCTCGTTAATTTTCTCTAAATATGACCAGCTGCTCCCGGCCAGACCTTGCTCGTTTCCGTTGATCCGGATTAAGTCGTGATTTGAATAGGCTCGATAGAATCGCGATTAGATTATAGCCAATCGCTTTGAAAATTGGATTATTCTTATGATAAATCGTTTCTTTTTTTCGTCAATTTTCTATCTCTCCTCGATTTAATTATTAATGCAGATTTGAAAAATATCGATTTGTTTCGTAATTTTCAATCTAAAAGTGGGAACCAATAATTTCTATAAACGAATAATTTGATATCGTTATTACAATATGAAAAATTAAATACAAACTCAATTCGAAATTCAAAAAGATTTAAAAATATTAACAATTAAATCACGGGGAAAAGTATCACGGGGAATATGAAGGAAAACCGAATTCAATACGATTAAGAGTGGAATAAACTAAAATGAGATAGCTACAAAAAAAAAAATATTGAGAAAGGATATAAAAAATTTCACTGGATCACTGGAAACAGGGAAACGCAATGGATAAACAATTGGCGCGTATTTTCTTTCGATCTCGACGGAATTCCGTGGAGAAAACGGGACAAATGCCTCGAGTGTTTCCCCAATGTAGTTTGACATCAAAATTTCACGCGTTTGAAGGAGCTGAATTCCCGTGCTAATTAATTAAGTTAGAATAAACGTTGAACCAAGCGAAGCACCCGCAGCATATTTACCTTTCCCCGGAAAATAGGAGAGGAGAGGAGAAACTAAAGAGCAACGAAAATGCCGTAACCTTGTTCAACATCGATTCTTGTATAACGCGGATGGAGGAGAAAAAAAAAAAAAAAAAAGAACAAAAAAAAAAAGAAAAGAAAAATAAAAAAGAAAATGGAGGATAGAGAGGAGCTTTAGCTTTAGGAAAAAGAAAAAAAATCGATATATGCATATATGTATATAGAAAATATCCAAGCTATTTGAATATCGTTTGTGTCGAGGAAGATTTATAAATGTGAAAAAAGAAAAAAAAAAAAAAGGAAAAACGTGATTGGAACACCTACCGTTGGGTACCGTCGGTGGTTTTTTCGTCTGCACCCTCGCTGTCGCGTTGTTCACCTGTCAAATAAATAATGGAATATTAACAATCTCTCGATTACATCTGACTATACCGTACCGATTTTATTTCTTTCGATCGATCGCGAGATTCGCGCCGCCGCTTCTTTCCGTATCGAATAAAAATATAAAAATTCCATCTCGTCCATTTGTTTCGTGAAGAAAACGAAAGCTTTGCCGTTTCAAAAAATTTCATATTATAAATCTCCCGGATGATTTAAAAATTTCAACGAAAAAAATTTACTTAAGAGTTAAAAGAAAATTTACTCGAGAAGATGCTTATTAAAAAATAAGGAAAGATTGCACGGATATGTTAAATTTCTAAATCGGAGGAAAATATTTTATTTATTTTTTTTTTTTTTGACAAGGAAGGAAGCAAATGGACATTGACTCGAATAGGTTGAAGATCCAACAACGCCAATTTCGCGGCTCGTGCACGAATCTCGCGATCGAGGACATTGATGGATGCGCAATCAAACTGGCAAATGCAATTTCTCCCCGTATCAGCCTCTCAATTTTCATTTTCATTTCGATACAAAAATCGGCCCGGATAAACCGGGGGGATAAACTGGGGTTCTGCGCATCGATCAACGGCCAAATGCGAAAATTACTGCAGCTGTGCATCGTTAATTTATATTTTCTTCCTTTTTGTTTTTCTTTCTTTCTTAGTTATCTTCAAACTTTGAAAAATAAACATTTCAACGAAAAATTTGGGAACTTTGGAAAATGAAATAAATCTATACAAATTTAACGATGTACAGCTACTTGCAATTATATTCCGTTTTCTTTCTCGAGTAATCCTCAATTCGTCAATTTGGCGATGGAGAAACTAATGTGAAATATTATTTTGAAAATTTTTACACAATTTCAAGGTAAACTATTGTTCGCCAAATTTAGAATTGATTCGATTCTCTTTCCTTTCTGAAATCTTATCTAAATTTAAGGAATTAGTTGGACGTTGTCTGTCGAGAAAAAAAGATGCCGGCTCTTCAAAAGAATTCTCCTTTTGAAAATCCCGCCAAATTGAATCCTTGGCCACGATGACAACGACGAGTAAATTTAAACATCGCAAATTTTATAAAATTTTGAAGAAATGATATTAATAATTTGAAAAGAATATATATACATATATATCGAAAAAGAATAAGAAACAATTTTTTTTAACAATAAGAAATTTTCCATCTTCGAGGCCAAGAACGAAGAATATCTGATCGATCGATTTTCCACGATTTTACGATTTTCAATCACTCTATTTTTTTTCTTTCTAAACTTTTTCTTTTTTTTTTTTTTGCATCGATACGAAAAGAAGAAAAACTCTTGTGTTTAAAGCTTATAATCTTGAAAAAAAAAAAAAAAAAAGAAAAAAAACGAGTTTACCATTAATCCATACGTGAAAAGCGATCGATCGATGATTTTCGATGCGAAAATCCGGCAAAGTGTAGGTAAATAAGCAAAAAAAGAAAATCAATCTCGAAATTTTCTCTCGTAAAAAAAAAAAAAAAANAAAAAAAAAAAAAAAAAGAAGACGAACAATCGTGAGAGGCGCGAAAAAAAACAATTTTTCTTTCTTTTTCTTTTTTATCTTCTTCTTCTTCTTCTGATCGTTAAACGCTCCACTTTTCCGGACGATCGAAAAAAAAAAAGATGGTTATAAAAAGAAATCAAGAGACCGTCGCTGTCGATTTCCGATTATCTCGATCTCTCGCACAAGTACTTTCGTCGCTGGTGGGTAAAATTAAAAAGAAGAGAAAAAAGTAACTAGAAGAGGCTAAATTCTCGTCGGTTCGGCGTTTCTCTTTATCAGCTGGATCCCTCTTACCGTGCGCTTTTACCGTTCTTCGGATTTTTCCCCCATTTCCGCTGCTTTGCCTTCCGTCTCTCCGCCTTTCTCCCCCGTTTTCCTCGTATTTCGTTCTCACGGAAAACGAGATCTCTATCCCCCGATTAAACGGAGATTTTGTTCAACGTTCGTTGACTCTTATGCGCGATATATTATTTTACTTTTCTATTTTACAGGTTAGATTTGCGTCAATTCGAACCGAGATAAGTGATCCCTTTTCTCTCGAAATTTTAATTCATTCATCATCAGTTCTCGTCGCTTATTCCTCGATCTTTAATTTCCTACATTAATTTACATGGTAATTTTATAATCTCCGATTTATTGATTTAATTCGGGCCAACTTTATGGATACCGATTTACCATTTTAATTGGCCGTGATTCTTATCCAGACCGATTCATCATTCCCTTATTTGCATATTTTATTCTCTGATTTTTAAATATTTCTGCCACGCTTATGCTTATCATACCCGTTCCCATTATCTTCGTGTTACCGAATTCTGTAATTCAATTAAGAGAGATCCAATCTACAATTTTAATCTACTTTTTTACTTTCAGAATCCAGTAAAAAAAAACCTAAAAATACAAAAAGGAATTCAATTTCAAATACTCTCGTCCAACTTTCAAATTGTTATCTAAACAAAATCTTTCGCTCAATATAATCGAAACAATATCCCCATATTTTTCGCCATTCTCGATACTCCTACCACCTCGATATCCAACAACCAGCGTCCTATCTCGAACGTGCGGTTTATCTACGCCACCCGGTATTTGTTTGTCGCGAGAGGATACGGCCGGCCAATCCCTGCCTGCGTTATCGACCGCGATTTGCATTTTACGATCGTGTTCCCATCGATCGAGGGGTTTGTTCGCCGCGTTATATAGTTATGATCGGATTAAACGAACGTCGCCTTCTCGTAACGAGCAATCGTGTTCAATTCAACCAACCAGAAGTTAGATCCCTCTCTGGATGTCCATGATAAACTTGTTAATTAGAGAAGGTCGACGAACAGTTTCTCTTTGGAGTTGGAGAAAAATTTATATTCAATTCTTTTGTCCTTTAGAGAAGTTTTTTCCTTGAATTCTTTTCGTAGATAAAAAATTTGGGGAAATCTAAAATTATCAAGGAAAATTTTAATTAGCAATATATATTTCTCAGAAGAATTTTTGCTTTATCATTTGTGTAAAAGGAAAAAAAAAAAACTTTTCAAACTTCTTTTTATTTATATATTCACGTATTGTTATTATTATTCCAAGTTCAGCATTAAATTTTATTCGAAATTTATATTAGATTCTCGAAATTTGTATTAGAAACCATCGCTTGCTCGCTGGTTATGAATATTGATCAACGATCCGATTTTGGTATCGTGTATCAACGTCTCGCTTCACGGAGAAGTTTCGACGTTTTTAGAGTTATACGTGTTTCATATACGCTCATGAATATTAAATATCGACGTGGAACGTTTAGCAAGTATGAAATGTTGCCCGTCAGGGGCAAGATCCTTTATATTCTGCGACAAAGTTTCGCGGCTCGTATCATAATCTTTTATTCACCTGTGAATATTAAATATCGGTGAACATCAACCGTTATACGACGAAAATTTCGCAACGTTATTATTTCGTTCGCGTTAAATATTAAAATGGCTGCGAAAAATTTTGTAATCTGTGCAACGGCAAAGATTAAAAATTTCAATTTCAATTATTTTTTAGATTCAAAAAAAAAAAAAAAAGAAAAAAAAAGATCGCTATAATTATTATTCATAAAGCATCCACGTTCTGAAATTAAATCCTATTAGCGGAGATTTCTTCTTTTTTTTACTTTAAAAGTAAAAAATATGCAACAAATATAATATCTCATTCGAAGATATTCGTCGTTATTAGAAATCAACGAATAATTATCCTCCTTTCCTCCTTTCTACAATAGACAATTTCCTCGTTATCTACAACTTTCCTCATCTGTCAATTCAAATTTAAAATTCGTACTAACACAAAGTTTCAAATATTGGGTAAACGTGAAAGTTTTCCACGCACGAACTACGTTCTATCTTGTTTATTAATATATATATATATATAACGATCGCGTTAGAAATTCGCCGAAACTTTTGCCATTGGATCCATCCAATCGTTAAATTATCGTCACAACCTAAAACGTTATCCTTAATATCACGACGACAACCACCATAAACGAGAGAATTCATCGAATAAATCGAATCTCTCGTCCCACCTCGGAGGGGCCCCCACCACCGACAAATATTCATCGCGAGTAAATGAAAGGCAAACACTAACCTGTCGGATCTTATTGTTAGGTAAAATTGAACGAGCGGGATACGCAACAAACGAGCAAACAAACCGTGGGCGGACATCGAGGCATCCTGAGTCTACGTTGTCAGAATCGATGCCCGTGCCCGCCTTGTTGGACGGCAAACAATGCGAGCACGGATGAATCTCGAAATCTTTGTTTGCCATACGTGTATCGTGTCCAACACCCCGGCTGCGTACGTTCTGTAAATCCGATTGTTTTGCAAATTAGACCGTCCACGCGTACGACACCCGATTGTTCCTTGTTGTTCCAACTGATTTTATTATCGCTCCCTCGTTATCTTCACGATCGAGATTGAAATTAAGAGAGGAGGAGAGAGAGACAGAGAGAGAGAGAGAGAGAAAGAGAGAGAGAGAGAAGAGATGGTCGTTGGATGATTAAAATTGGTGGGAGGTACGTGGAACGAGGGTGGAATTTTCTCGTCATCAAGCTTATCGAAAATTTCCATCGAAATGGGCCCTTGAACTTTGATGTTAAAAACTCGAGTGAGTTCATTTGAATTCTCGCGATTTTCTGGCAACGGGTCAATTTTGAAGAACCACTTCGGTTTAGAAATTGGGACAAGTGTATTTGGGCATTGTTCTTCGATCGAATCGCGTGTGTAATTACTGGTATTAATATATTGTAAATTTGATATTTTGGTATGTATATGAGGAAGGATATTTTTTTAATCGATAACGATTTATTTATTTTATAATATAATTGGTTTCGAAAACAACATTAAAATAAACAAAAGGAGGGACGTTAAATTTTTTAATATTGTACGTTTCAAGTATTTTATCAAAAGAGAAATATATATATATATATATATTTTTTTTATTCGATATTAACCATTCATTTCGTTCA